ATAATTTATTATTTCAAAAGTATTTCCATTTTCATTATTTTTTCTTTTCAATTAAAATCTTGTGTTAAATATTCTTATTCTTACACTTCAAACAAACTGCTAAAATTTTAATAAACTGAGATTTTATTTACAAAATTTAACTTTTTTAAGAATCAAGACTTCTTGATTCTTGACAAGACTTGATTCTTGAGAAAATTTCGTGATGCCTGATTTTTTCTTGAAATCAAGACAAGAACTCTTGACTTCTTGAAATTTTTCCAACAGTAGGCCCAGGAGAAATATTGAAGAGATTAGAATTGAAAAAGGGAAAATTTTTATAGAGATGAAGATACTAAGAATAGAAAAGAATAAAACAAATTGGTTTAGGAAAAAGGCAGAAGGATATAAGAAAAAAAATATGATGACCTTTATTTAGACATTTAGATCCTGTCAAGAAAACACACTTCTAACACATTTCTTTGATCATGTATTGAAATTTTGCGGATGTAATTCCCACTACTGTATATAATTAAATAAATGTATTAATAATTTATTCGTATATATGTATTTAATGAAAATCAAACATTCAATTTTATTTATAAAAGTAACACATTTCCGTAATGAAATAAAATAACTAATTAATAGTAACATGCTACACCAACCTTGTTATATAATGATAAATCTCTGAAATACGGATTAGACGGAATCTTTTAAAATATGTGTTAAGAGAACCAAGATAGCGGCCATTATTGACGTGAAAGGGTGTAAGTAAACGAAAAGTATACGAGATAAACAAAAAAACATAGTCAAAAGGACGATTTTCATGAAATAAATGACACTATGAAGGAGACTTGCCCTAAATTAACAAAAAAGATACAAATCATCCGCAATGGCATAAAATAAACGATATTATGAAAGATACGTGTCAAAGATTAACATTGAAAAGAAAAATCATGCGCAGCGGAAATGTCATAAGGGCATTAGTTATTATCTTCGCTATTATTGGTCTGATTTGCATGGGACAAAAGACACTATGAAGTAGACGTGTTATAGATTATTACTGAATAGAAAAATTATACGTAGTGGCTAGAGCGAAATATTATCAACTAGCTGAGATCAATGAGAATCAATTGTTCTCTTGAAATAAATTAACTAGTAGCTAAAAAAAGAAAATTAACTAAAAATTGGTAATAATCAGGAATACAAGACGATAAAAACAAAACTAAACAATTCCTAATAAAAATTTGAAATAGAAATTGCACAACTAAAGAATAAATCCATCAATACTTGCAAGAACTAACAAATGACAGTGAAACAAAGTATTTTCTTAAAGAAAGTAACTACACAGTCCACCTATAAGAACTGAAAATGGAAGTTGTAGCCAAGTCAAATCAAGAAAAAGCGAAAACGTTCCCAAATCGCTTAGAACAAACTTTTCAGCCAAACGAAAATAATTGTATGGATATTTAGACATCAATCCAATAACATAGAAAGAATTGACATATGTAAATTAATAACAACATAAATTTGTATGGTTTAAAGGTCAATGTAACCTGGAGCGTGTCCATCTGGCAGCTCCAAATGCGATGTTTTTGAATAATGAATTTCTATAATTATTTTCGAAGCAAAAATTAAATTTGCGTAAATTAAGTAATAAAAAAAATTGATTTCAAATTTTTTTTTTGTGTAAATGAATATATACCGGCATATGTGTAGTTAACACCAAATTAATGGAACTGCTCTAGGTTTTTTTTTTTAAATACTTACAATTGACTCGAAATTTTATAAAAATATAATATTTTGTAATTTTATTCGAAAAAAGGATTAATGTTCTTTTAATCTATCAAGTTTTGAGAAATATTTATTTATTTACATAATTGGTAGAATTGTTCGTGACATTAATTTTAAGTATTTCGTAATAATAAAACTATGCAAGATGACATTCTTCACTTTTACATAACTTAAATATTAAATAAAACTGGCAGTAACAATTTTGCTTTCTAAAAAGTTATATACAATAAATCTCATGTAATTTTTTATCATAATAATTCTTTATTGTTCATCAAATAATAGTAACCCATATTATTTAATAGATTTTAGAACTTTGAGTGTATGTACATTTAAATTGACGTTCAAAATTGAACTTTAATTATAATTCCACTTTGTACTGATAAAAGATTTTTAGATTTAATGTAGTCGCAGAAAAAATGTTGTATAAGACACTATTTTTGCGCACTAGTTTATATTAGTGTACAAGCGCAGCAAGTTTTCAAAACTCGTGCTTAAAACCATATCTTTAAATACTTTTAATATTAATATCTATTTTGTGCAAAAAATCAATCACAGAAACAATTTTAAGGTTAATAAAACTCTTTCAAAACAAAAAATTTCGTAATATTTTTGTCCTACGCCATTTTTAATTCCCACTCTGCTTTCCCCACTTCTTTCTGAATTTCTCCCACCTTTAAAGCAACAGTTAATCAATTCCTTTCCACTTTTATTAAAATGACTTAAATAAAATAAGCCCTCATAAGCTATATAAATCATTCCCACCTTTAAATCAATAGTTAACCAATTTTTCCCCATTTTTATCAATATGTTTTAATTTTAATTTTGTATGACCTAATAAACACAAAAATTATGTCCTTCACTTGTATCTAAATCCCTTCCACATAAAATCAACTGGTAACAAATTGCCTCCCCCATTTTATCAAAATTATTCATCAAAATATTGTTTTAACCTAATGACCTCATAAAATAACAAAAATAGTTTTCGGATAAAAATAAATCCCCCACTTTTATACAAATTCTCTCCACTTTATCAAAATACGTTTAAAATAAAAACAAATTTAAAAAAAATAAAATTTCTACAAATATGGTCGTAGAAAAAATATTGTATGACACAAATAATTCAAATACTTTTCCTTAGTAGTTAAAATTATGGTACAAGCTCAGCAAGCTATTACAACTCGTGCTTAAACGCATATCTTTAAATATTTCTATCATATAAATAATTATTTTGTAAAAAAAATCAATCTAAAGCTAACAAAAATCTTTCAGTACAAGAAAATTCCCCAATATTATATTTGTCAGAAATAGACATTCACCTCAACACTCTTACTCTGCTTCCCCCACTATTATCTATATTCCTCCTACCTTAATATCAACAGTTAATTAATTCCTCCCCACTTTTATTAAAACGTCTTAATTTATTTTTGCATAATTTGATAAAAAAACACAAAAATAGTTTTTGATAAAAATAAGTCCCTCACTTTCTAAATCTCTCCTACCTTTAAATCAACAGTTAGTCAATTTCATCCCCACCTTTATAATGATGATTCCTAAAAACTAATAAACAAAAATAGTTTTTGGATAAAGTTAAATCCCCCATTTTTATATGAATAAGTCCCATCTCCCCAGCTTTATAATGATTCCTCATCAAAATATTATTTTGACCTAAAAAAAACTAATAAATAAACACAAAAATAGTTTTTGGATAAAAATAAATCTCGCATTTTTATATGAATAATTCCCATCTTTAAATTAGTTCCTCCCCACTTTTATCAAAATATCTTAATTATTTAATTTTCGAATTGCGGTCGTAGATAAAATAGTGTATGATACAGATGTGCTAACGGTATAAGCTCAGCAAGATTTCAAAACTCGTACTTAAATGTATATCTTCAAATAATACTTCTATCATACATAACTACATAGTTAAAAAAAATTAATTAAACAGTTTTACAGCTAATAATAATCTTTCTGTACAAAAAATTTCCCAACATTTTTGTCCTTCACTATTTCTGACCTTTCATTCATTAACCTCAACTCCCCTCACTGTAATGTCCCCTCTCTTATCTAAATCCCTCCCCCCATTAAATTGATAGTTAGCCAAAAATATCCCCACCTATGTAAAAATTCCTCATCAAAATATTGTTTAGACCTAATGACCTAATAAATAAACATAAAAATATTTTTTAGATAAAAATAAATCCCCCACTTTTATCTAAATCTCTCCTACCTTTAAATCAACAGTTAGTCAATTTCCTCTCCACAAAATTATATAGCAAACAAAAATCTTTTAGTACAAGAAAATTCCTCAATATCACATTTGTCCTTCACTATTTCTGACCTTTCATTCATTCTCCTCCAACACTCTTACTCTGCTTCCCCACTATTATCTAAATCCCTCCTACCTTTAAATCAATAGTTAATTAATTCCTCCCCACTTTTATCAAAACGTCTTAATTTATTTTTGCATAACTTGATAAAAAACACAAAAATAGTTTTTGATAAAAATAAGTCCCTCACTTTCTAAATCTCTCCTACCTTTAAATCAACATTTAGTCAATTTCCTCCCCACCTTTATAATGATTCTTGATCAAAATATTGTTTTGACCTAAAAAACTAATAAATAAACTTAAAAATAGTTTTTGAATAAAATTAAATACCCCATTTTATATGAACAATTCCCATCTTTAAATCAATTTCTCCCCACTTTTATCAAAATGTCTTTTTAAAATTTTAAAAATTACAAATTTCTATAATTGCAGTTGTAGATAAAATAGTGTATGACACAGATGGGTGAAATACTTTTACGCACTATTTGAGCTTCTATCATACATAACTATTTTGTAAAAAAAATTCAAACAAAAAGTTTTACGGTTAATAAAAATCACTTTTGTCCTTCACTATTTCTAACCTTTCATTTATTAACCTCATCTCCCCTCACTCCAATTTCCCCTCTCTTATCTAAATCCCTCCCCCATTAAATCAATAGTCAATTACCTCCCCTCTTATATCAAAATTTCTGATCAAAATATTGTTTAGACCTAATGACCTAATAAATAAACACAAAAATAGTATTTGGATAAAAATAAATTCCCCACTTTTATCTTTCCCACATTTAAATTTCTCCCCACTTTTATCAAAACGTCTTAATTTCAATTTTGAATGACCTAATAAATAAATTAATTTAAAAAAATACTATTTAAATAAAATAAATTAAAAAAAATACGTACTGCAAGTGTATGAGGATCCATTGGCTTTAATTCAACCCCCCTTTTGACGATCGTCCTGCATTCTCCTAAGTCTATAACAAAGGATAGACATACCAGTGTGGCTATGGAATAATATAATTTCGTCATTCTTCTGGAATAAAAAAAAAGAGAATAGAAAATCGTAAATTAAAGCAAAGTTGTCTACTTATAATTTTAATGTAGAAGAAAGAAGAATATAACAAAAACTATCAGGGTTATAATCGACATCCTGTTATAATTGTAATGCAGGTTATTGATACAAACACAGACATAGCATAAATAATAAAATGTCTGTTAAAAATAGCATCAGTTATCCATCATAATCCTTTATAAATTATGTATTTTATTAAATAGAAACAAAATAATGAATATGAAACATTTAAAAATGTTATTACTGAACTAATATTTAAATAAATATAAATAGATGACATTCAATTCAATATTAAACATTTAAAAACGTTTTATTGAACTAATATTCAAATAAAAATGACATCTGTCATTACTTTTAATCAATCAAACCTGGAAAAAAATGTACACCAACACAATAATAAATTCCCACAAACTAGGTCACCTAAACAGATATGGCGTTTCACGAAAAATAAAAAATATTGACGAAAAATTAAAAAAAAAAGCTCTTACACTATCCTATAGCTGGACTTAACTTAGGAGTGAATGTGATAGTTTAATAAAGTTCTGCTTATTTCTAAGCGGCACTTGGCAGGTACGAATGTCGACGAGAAAGTACGAAAACGCCGATCGAGTGGTACCAAGGAGGTCAAGGAAGGTACTGTTGGGGTACCCAGCGAGAAAGAAGTGCATTTCGGGTGTCATCTACTAAAATTCGTCAATTGCATCCGTTATAGTTGGGTAATTTGACCGATATAATTGGATTAAGATTATGCAGGATGTGTATAAAGTGGTTCTTGGTATTCGGATTACTTTCTTGCGATGAAAGTAAAAGTACGTTTCGATTATCCTGCTATAAAATCGTTTGGTAGATCTAGTGAGAGAGATGTATAGAAAAATAACTAATAATAGATTCGCGTTTTTTTTATTATGTCATAAAGTATATATAATCTTAAAAGATTTTAGATTGTGTATTTAATTCTGAGAGTAAATTTTATCTTTAGCTCATAGAATTTCACCATAGTTACTGTCAACGTAACTTTCGGGAAAAATATACTTCCTGGCATTTATTTTTATATTGAAATCAATTCATGAAGTGTGTGAGTTTATTAAGGACACCGTAGCACACTTCAATATTTATAACACTATTTTTTATAGATGTCAACAGATGGAGCATATTTATAGTTCTTTTGTTCAACAGATGGCGTAATAATTCGATTCATTATTTTTCCGGTACAGTTTGGATATCTAATCGACATGACAACATTGTTTAGTTAAACTGTAACTGTGACAAGAAAAACATCAGCACCCTGTACTTTACTCTCTTGGGCAAAATCATATTTTTTAACAAACCTATATCAGGTGGTTGTATTTTCGGTTTTAGGCCATGTATACATTTTTATGAACAATAACTTTTTCTTTAAATTATTAATAAAAAAGTTTTTCATATGCCGAAAATCGTATTATTATACGCAAATCGGCAACACTACTCCGAGGCGGCACGTTTGATTTTTAAAAGTAGAAATTTTAGTTAACACTTGACGTTTTCAGGATATGAAAAGATTTCTTTACACTGACTGGTTAGTTGAATTTTTGTTCTGCTGCTTTTCAAATTCGTGTGTATGAGCGAGATGTAAGATAGCTTTATAGACAACGGTTGAACAACTTAATTTGAAGAAGAAAACCGATTAGATATGAGGGCAATCCGCAAATGTAGAAAGGACAAAACCGTTTTAAATTTTTTTATGTCTGTGATTGAGTATCAAAAATGTTTGAATTTCGAAACTGAAATATTACTTTTTAGTGAAAAGTTTAATTACTTTTAGTTCAAAATATAACGTTAGTTTGTCAATGGAAATATATAACACACAAGGTTAGAGTAACAAAATAGAGGTTTTGCTTAATAATTATTCAAACCTAAAACTTTTCTAGTATATTGTAGAAATTTATTCTATACGTTATTTAAGTTCTGCAAAATCTATAGGAAATTATGTAGTTTTAAATATAAAAATTTATAACGGAGACATATTTAGTGTAGTTTTTTTTACAAATATACACTCAGTGACTTGTTTTTGTGAATGAGTTCAAGTATGGCAGACGAAAATAGTTACTTTTTATTGTGAATTAATTTGAATTTATTTAAAAGTGGGAACTATGTGCATATGGTTTTCGTAGTTTTTACACTTGTAATAAAAATACCAAAGTTATGTATATTGGCCATTTACTACTAGTCGAGGCAATGAAGCAGTAAAAAGGCCAAAAGTTCGAAAGTGAGAACTGTCCTAAATCGGGTTGCCGAGAGTTCTCGAAATCACTGATCACGATTATGATGTTCAAATTGACCCACAGCTGAGCTCCGGAACGCCTATGAACGTCATCTCCGTGGAACTCTCCCGAAATTCACGCGGGGATGGAGAGAAACTTGGGGCACGGGGGTTTTTTAGGTCACTGAATTCAAATATGGAATCGGCGAATGCCCCCCGGATACCCGGTATCCCAGAACCTAAAAGTGGACATCATCACCGAGAATTTTCCTGACAAGATCGCCAAAAACAACCCAAAAATCATTGCAGGGGTGTGTTTTTAGGGCGCTGAATCCAAATTTCACGTCAAAAACGACATCTTGAACACCTGGTTCACGGGAACCTGGACACGGACCTCATCTTCGTGAGTTTTCCTCACACAATCGAAAAGGACGAACCGAAAATCGTTATGGAGGTTTTTGGGGCGCTAAATTCAAATATTGCATCGGCAAACACTCTCCGGATACTTGGTGCGCCCAAACCTGGACGTGGACGTCACCCCTGAGAATATTCCTGACAAGATTGCCAAAAACAACCCGAAAATCATTGTAAGAGCGTTTTTTAGGGCGCTTAATCCAAATTTCACGTCAAAAACACCTAGTGCACCGGAATCTGGTTTAACGTCGTCTTCGAGGGTTTTCCTCATACAATTGAAGCTTGTCTCATATGCCACTAGTTGCGGATAATATGTTGTTGCTCCATGCAATAACGGGATGCGATACCGTTTCAACAACATACTACCAGAGAAAAACTAAATTTTTCAAGACCTTTCAGAAATTCCCAGACCTTCCAGCTCATGCTATGAAGTTCAAGGAAGCTAATTTGTCAAGAGAAGAAATTTTTGAGAACGGGGCGCAGCTAATCCTGGCAATGTACAGTGCTCCACTATCATTCAGGAAGCCGAATGTTCCTGACGAGTACAAGCCAAAATGAGATCACTTACTACATATGTACAGGTACAGAATGTACATAAAAACCGCTCTAAAGGGGAGAGTAAATTTAGGAAAAATTCTTAGTCACTAGACTCCATTCAACAACATCTAAAGAGAGTCTATTTCCAAGTGCAAGATTGGCTGCACGGAGACCAGCTGACCATGGACCCAACATAATGAGGGTGGAAAAGGGAAGGCGACACACTGATCCCTTGCAATCTTACCTGTAAAATTTGTGTAGGCTCAACTTGAAACAATACTGAAAGATATTTAGTTGAAAACGTTATTGCGGCAAAGAGAGAAAGAGAGGCCTTAGATGAGGAAGATGTTCTACTTATGAATACGTCAGTCGATGACGAAGAAAATTAACAGACTAGCGATGTGTTAGTTGAACAATTTAATATTTAGTAATGTATCTAAAAATTAAAGTTATTAATTAATGAGGTAAGATAAAGTTACAGTTAGATTGTATTTGATTTGAGTTCAATATAAATTTTTTAAACATAAATATTAACTTTCTATACATTCGATTTCTTTCCTACTCATATAATTTATCTAGAATCAACAATTCCACACAGCTATTGCAGTATTGACGTCCGTTTCTAAAACATCAGGTTTGGTTGACTTATATAATAATACTCAAAGCAAATGAGTGCTTTTGCAAATTGTAGAGAGTATTCGTGATAAAATTGAGTATGAATATTTTAAATAACTCTATTTAGTGACTCAAGGAATTATAGTAATTAGTAATAGTGAATCAGTAAGCAAAAATAGAATATAACTCCAACCGAAGCAAAGATATTCAACTTCTATTTGGATTAATATTATTTTTAAAACAAAAACTTATGAAGAATAAAAAATAATAATAATAAAAGCACTTTATTGGTTATGAATATTACAACCAAATGGCCATCGACCTAGGTCCTTCAGCCAGTACAATTTGTGTGGTATATAAGAGGATTTACGAGCTATATGTGTAAGATGAATACGAATATTAAGATACTTAAAAGAAAAAACAACAATACGTGCCACTAATTATTGTTCATCGGCAAATTCGTTTAGGATTTCTGTTCTTGATCTCTTCTTCTTCTTCTTCTTAGTGTAAAAGTTTCGGCCACTTGAATGTTTTTTTGGCTCTGGTTTTGATTTTGTTGTTTTGTCTGCGGGTGTGTTCATTGAAGATCAGCTTATTATCAATAATAAGGCCTAGGTATTTCACTGAGGATACGGGATAGACTGGTTAGTTAAATATGATGAGTAGAGCTAGGAATATATGCAAAACGCCATATTTTGCATATGTTGCATAAATATACAATTTTTGATTTTGAAAGCATATATTGACATTTTGTTAATTTTTGGCATTTGACGTACTAATTGGCTGGACATATTAAAATTATGAGTTTTGGACCAAAATAATATTTTGTGAAATGCATTTACAGGTCGATTTCCTAAAATTTTGAAGGATTATTTTTTCCCTGTAATAAATTACGGTTAATGGTGTAGGTACTTGAAAGGATTAAATTATAAACACTCTCCTTAAACCAACAAATTTTGCTAAATATCCTTTCAGTTAGTTGTATTAATATCTTCAAATTTTTAAATGACTCAGTTTACTTTCAACTTCATTTCAGTCTTTATTGTTGTGTTGTGTTAACCAGTGGGAAAAATGGGTAAAATCTTATTCAGATTTTGTTGAAGAAGGTGATAACCAGGTGTTTTGTAAAACATGTTCTAAAATTGTAAGTACTTTTTTATTTTATATTTTATTTTAACCTTTCACAATGGTAAATCAAACGAAAGTAAAATATTATTTAAACTCACAGTTAAAAAAAAAAGTAGGGCAACTTTACAACGTACGCATTTATTTAATTTAATTAAAACTCCAACATCTAAAGGAATTTATTTGTTTTAGATTCCATGTAAAAAAAAGTTTCAAATCGACCAACACGTGGAAACACCCTTCACATATAGCAAAGCAGAAATCTAAAGACACTCGCAGACAAAGTCAACTTCCCTTGAAACAATATTTAGAATCTGGATCGTCTAGAAGTGAACAAGCTATTTTTAATGAAGATTTATGCAAAGCTTTAGTGACTTTGAATATCCCTTTAATACGATTAAATAATCCAAATCTTTGATCATTTTTGCAAAAATACTGTAAATTTAATATTCCAGAACAAAGTATATTACGCAAACGTGGTGTTGACAGTTTGTACATTGAGAATCGTGAAAAAATTCGTGAGATTACCGTTGGAAACCATTTCTACATTATTGTGGATGAAACAATAGACTCTTGTGGTGGATATATATTTAATGATAGGTTCATTACGCGAAGAAATGCAAATTGGTCCATATCTAATCACTTCAAAGCAATTAGATAAAACAAATACCTTGACAATAACTCGTTTTATCCAGACAGAATTGTCTTTCTTTTTTCTTCCGGAAGCCGTTCCAACAGAAAAATGTTTATT